CGCGCCCCCCGCCGCCAGGCGCAGGGCAGCCCCGAGGCTTTGCTAAGCCGTGCCAGGGACGGACCGCCGGGTCGAGGGAGAAGCTGGCTCTGTCCTTGCTGGCTCTTTCAATCCTGCACCACGTCCCAGCGGCCGGACTCAGGGATGTAGTGCAGGCCGGCTGCGTCTTCAAGGGCAGTTTTCCTAGGGCAGAGCCGCACTCTCGCATTCCCCAGGCAGCCGCTGTACAAGCGGTGAGGGAGCGTGCAGGGCTGGAGCTCGTGCACATGCCAGCAACACCCTTTCCTCGTTTCTAAAATCACCTCGTGGAGGAAAACTTTTGTCCTTTTGCCAGGGGTTCCTCCTTCCCTCCCCGCGTGAACAAGGAGACAGTGTTTTCACTTTTCTGTTGGAAATGAGCAGATAAAACTTAACAGCAGGACATTTTTTTTTAAGCTTCTCATGGGGGAATTAGACACGCATTCCTCCCCTTGCCATGCTTTCTGGGCCTGATATTTCCCAGGAGGACGTTTTACACCCACAGTATGTTAGTAACAGTCTGTCTGGGGGAGCTGCCAGAAGCCAGTCAAAGGGATGAGGAAACTTGATTGCATGTTTATGCAAATATAGATATATATTCATGGAAGTACCCTGCTTGAGTAGTTAATCAGGAAGCTAAGGGTTTAGCTCCAACTTCGATGGAGTTGGAGCAACCCTGGGCAAAGAAGTGCAAGTCTCATGTCCGTTCAGAAGTGCTCCTCACCCAGGCCCCTGCTGTACACATGGAGGAAGATGTTCCTCCACCGCCCCTGCCCCGAGCTCACACCATCGCCATGGCCCCAGCAGTGGCAGGGCATCACATCGACATCTGCACCATGCTCTTGGGGTCATTGATTTTTATCCATGCTTGCCCATAGAACATTTTTAGGCCTTTTTTTTTTTTTTTTTTCAAGTGCTGTGTACGTGTGGGTGGTGTGTTTAGTGTCTGTCTCGTGTGGGATTTGCAGTGCTCTGCCTCGCTTGCGTCATACATCTGGGGCGGGCAGGACAGCATCTGCGCGGGGTTGGTGGGAGCGGAGGGACAGTGTCTCTTGCCAAACTGCTCCAGGGGACCTGGGAGATGTCATGCACCTCGGGGTTTATTCCTTCTCCAAAACCTGATTCCTGGGCAGAGAATATGCGCTTTCATTAACTGATGGCAAGGAACACAATAAATAAATAAATTGTAGTCCAGCTGCCAGATCTCTGGCTTGGTACAGTCAGGCCTGAGCTTGGAGCTCCTTGCCCCCATCCAGACCCCCGTCCGTGTTTCTCCATCCCCACCCCAGAACGCTGTGCCTGGGGATGGAGACAGTCCTCCAAATCAGAAGGTAGTCAAGGCCACCCAGCAGCTCAGGGACCTGCTCTGTTACCTGGGCAGCATGCTCGGATGGATGCCAAAGATCCATTGCGTGCCCTTAACCAGGAAGAGGGAACCAAGGCACAGCCTAATTCTGACCTACTTTTGACCAGAGTCATTCTTCCCCCTCTGGTCCTGCAAAATGTAAAGTACTTCTTTAAATACCATGACATTCCCAAGGGACTGTGAATCTAATTTGCCTGGACCTCAAGGGAAACATCTTGTTAAAGAGATGACCCTCGGAGCTCCTGGTAAGATGTCCATTTGCAGGAGACGCAATAACCCCAAGCTGGGTCAGTGTCCCAAAGTGAGAGACTCTGTCATTAGCTCCCTTCTGAATTTTAAGCATTAAATGAATTTTAAGCATTAAATGAATCCCACCTTGCTTTAAAGCCACCTCAGCCAGACCTTTGAACAAAAAAAAGTCCTGTTCGAGCCCTGCCTTATCCCTATGCTGTTTCACCCTCTAATTTACACACTGTCTTCTGCCCTCTGAATTTCTGCTTCCCACCATAAGCAAGCATCGTCAGACCAGCCTCTGAGTTCACTGCCTCTGTGCCTGTGAGAGAAACACAGAAAAAACCAGGTATTTAAAGCCAGACCGATGTGTTT